CTTCAGGCCCCTATGCCATCTTAATGGTGGATGAGATATTCTGTTTATCGCCCCATTTTCAATTTTTTTTTAATTCATTTTTATGTTTTTGTTTTGTGAAAATCATTGTTTTATCTCTTCTGTAGAATAGTCTAGGTTTCCCTTTAGAAAGGTTCGTGATTTTTTAAAAATATTTTTATGTGATTAGAAAATTATATCTTGAAATTGACTTTAAATGGAATGAAGAACGGCGTGAGAACCATGTTCCCCGCCTTCATCTTGTTGTAACGACCCCGTTTCAGCCTCGTTTCTATATACTTGATTATGTGATTCAGGATGAAACCCGAATACTCGCTTACGTTAATTTAAGAGTTATCCTTCAAAACTCATACCCCCCATTGCATGTGTAAATTGAATGGAATAATACAAATTATTTATTTTTATTTAATTATAAAAGATTGATTAACGTCAGCTTTTGACATCTAGTATATAATAACTTTTACGGGCCGATGTTTCAACAGGATCGAACCGTAACAATTCGAATCAATTCGTTCATTATTCTTTATTACACCTCTACTTGATACCACTTTCGAATTTCATATCTCAAAAAAAAAAAGAAATAATAATAATAAATCATTGCGTGAGATCCACGATTTTTTCTTATTTTATCAAAAAGGAAAAAGAAAAAGAAAAAGAAGTGACTCAGCACTTTATGAGCACTTGTAAATATACCCACAAGTCCCAAACATGTGCCAAGCCTTTTTATTTTTATTTTTTTTGAAGTCCTTTTTTGGTTCAATTAAAAATTTGGATTAAAATTTAAATAAAAGACAATAATTAATTTAAATAAAATTGTATGCGATCCATATATTTTTCGCTATACATTTTATCAATTTTTATTTTAATTTATTAAAAATTTAATTTTTATCCAAATCAAACATGAACTTATCAAAATATATTGATGAAAAAAAAAATACTAATAAGTTAATTTTTTTACTTTTATAGCCAAGCATGCTTTATGTGTTTACACAAGTCACGCGCCTTAAAATGAGGTCCATTATTGTTAAGTCTTTTGAACTTACACTCCACCAACCTTTCCATCTTCTCCATAACGATCTTCTCCAATCTCCAATCCATTAATGGAGGGAATTCATAAAGCCCTCTTTCTCTCTCTAAAATGCCTTAGGAAACCACGCCTAACTACAAGCTAAACACAACTTCCAGCAATCGCTACTTTTTCTGAACAAAACGATCCCTCTCCCGTCTTTTCTAGGGTTCTTCATCTGAACCTTTCACACCCCTTTTTAAGTTTTAGCACCTTTTTCTCTCTGCATTTGTAGCCTTTTCAGTGCCCCATTTTGTTATTTTCTCTGTATTCAAAACCCTTTTAACCTGAAACCTCTTTTTTCTCCACCTGTAGGATTTACTACGATTTTTCACAATGTCGCCACCGTGGTTCACTGATTCTGCTGCCGGGTTGAACCGTTCGGGTCGTCCTGCACAACCCACTTACCTACCGCGTTTCCGCCGTGACGAGAACATCATGATCAACACCACCCACCGTGGCCGTGGCGGTGGAGGTGATGGCGGACGCGGTCGGGGACGTCGCGGAGGCCGTTCTGGTGGATATTTCCACGATGAAAATCCCAACAACTTCCCTTTTGATATCCCTCAGAAATTCAACGAGTTAGAGATCGCCCAAGAAGAAGATGCTTCAAAGATGAATGCAACTGCGTACGATGATACGCCGGTGGAGGCCTCTGGCACTAACATACCTCCACCCGTGACGTCGTTTTCTGAAATATGTTTCTCGAGCCCGGCTCTGATTGAAAACATAAAGAGGTGCAAGTACTTGAAGCCCACGCCCATACAGAGGTACGCCATTCCAGTAGCCATGGCCGGGAGGGATTTGATGGCATGCGCCCAGACTGGGTCCGGTAAAACGGCAGCGTTTTGCTTTCCCATTATCAGTGGGATTCTTATGGCTAATCAGAAGTACAAGAGGTTTAGTAATCCTCACAGCATAGCTTGTCCACTGGCTCTAATACTAGCTCCTACTAGAGAGCTGTCATGCCAAGTAATTGCTTTTTTTTTGCCATTCCAGTAGCCATGGCCGGGAGGGATTTGATGGCATGCGCCCAGACTGGGTCCGGTAAAACGGCAGCGTTTTGCTTTCCCATTATCAGTGGGATTCTTATGGCTAATCAGAAGTACAAGAGGTTTAGTAATCCTCACAGCATAGCTTGTCCACTGGCTCTAATACTAGCTCCTACTAGAGAGCTGTCATGCCAAGTAATTGCTTTTTTTTTAGTTCATCATACTTTTTTTCCTGTGGGGTTCGCACTTTTTTGTTTATTTTTAAAATTTACTGTAATGAATAATGGTATTTTTTGTGTTTATGCTTTCTTGCGGGGCGGGGTTTGTATGTATTTCTTATTTTATTTTATATTTTATCTACTGTTTTTTTTTTTTTTATGTGAGTTACTGTTACATTCCTCACCAGAAAATTTGTGTGTCTTCTTTTTAGCCTTCATTTATTGTGTAGAGATTTCTTTAACTGTTGGTTTTTCCCTTTAATTTTCAGTAGGATGGATGACGTTTCACTAGAATGTTAATGGCTACAGTTTTGATTTGTTTGATGGGATTTGTGTGTTATCCAGATATATGAGGAGGCAAAGAAGTTCTCCTATCAAACTGGAGTCAAGGTTGTGGTTGCTTATGGCGGAGCTCCGATTTTCCAGCAGGTTTGGTTTCTGATTATATTATTTGTTTGAAGGCTTTTCTATGCATCTGAAACTTACATGGTTATGTTGTACATGTTATTGGCTATGGGTTTATCTTAATCGTCCTTTGGCTCAATTCTGATTACTGTATATGTTAATTGTTGAGTTACAATGGTTTATGTAGACTGTTTGATAGTAAGATGATAAAATTAGATAGCAGGATGCAGTGACTCCATGGCCTTCTTGTCGAAGTAGTTTCTTTATAGTAGTAATACTTGTGTATCTTGTAATGACAACAGGGATTGTGAAAAACAAATAGTATTTTTTTCTTTTTTAAATAAAGCTTTCCATTGTCATTACTTGTCGTTTACATTTCTTCGTTCTACTTGATGAGAACAATTGACATTTCCATTGCAGATAATTCAATCAAGTTTTCTATGTTTGGCTCTTGTACTAATCTGTTTTCAACTTCTACTTTTGCTTCTACAGCTACGCAATCTGGGAAATGGTGTGGACATCTTAGTTGCTACTCCTGGCCGCTTGGTGGATATGATAGAAAGAGAAAGGGTTTCCCTGAAGAATGTCAAGTATTTGGCTCTTGATGAGGCTGACAGAATGTTGGACATGGGCTTTGAGCCTCAGGTTCGGAGGATTGTTCAGCAAATGGAGATGCCTCCACCATGTGCAAGGCAGACATTGCTTTTCAGTGCAACATTTCCAACTGAAATACAAGTTTGTTTGCCAATCCCCTTCCTCTCATGTTTCTAATGAATAAGTGAAAATAATTACTGCATTTCACTGTTTGCTTTCATCCATTTTCGAATCAAGTGTAAACTTTCCGATATTATGTACCATTTTGTGCATTTCGAATGATTTAAATTGTTTGTATCCTAAGATTAAATAGCAATAAAATTGTTATCCGCATTTCATTTTGAAAAGATCTTCATTGTTATAATTGCTCCATTGATGGTCTTGGGTGAAGAAGTGCTTTATTAGCTATTCTGTGATTTCACTCTTTCAGAGGCTTGCATCGGATTTTCTATCAAACTACATATTTGTAGCTGCTGGGAAAGTTGGCTCAAGCACTGATCTAATTGTTCAACGAGTTGAATTTGTTCCTGACATGGACAAAAGAGATTATTTGATGAATCTTCTTCATGCCCAGAAGACAAATGGGATCACTGGAAAGGTACACCCTCTGGCAATGTAGTTTCCACTAGATTTATGCTCTTTTCTAACCTTGAACTATAAGTTTCTAGTTGGCTGATCTAGTAAAATTATATTTTTTTCAGGATGCTTTGACCCTTGTTTTTGTGGAGACAAAGAAAGGAGCTGATATGCTGGAACGCTGGCTGTGCAGAAAAGGTTTCCCCTCTACTGCCATTCACGGTGACAAAGTTCAGATGGTTAGTACACTATCCTCTCTTGATAAGTTTCTCGATGTATTATGCATTTGTGGAATGTCTAACTGAAAGGTTTGCCTTATGTTGACATTTTTCTTAGTTGGGCTTGCATTCAACACATTTCATTGAGTACATACAGTTTCTATGTAATTTGTATTTTGTCTTAGACTATCTCCACAACTGACTGGCTTGGAAAATTTGTTTAATGTTTTTCTAATTTTTGGCATTTGGGGAAAAGACTCTAGGATGTACCCACACTCTCGTGGAACTTGTGAGTTGGTGTCCTACACACATCGTACACTGACACTACACCTACATATCACCGATACGGGTTTGAAGCCAATACGTGTTTGACAATGATGTGTTGCACTTGTTGGACACTGACATGATACCGACATGTGCTAGATGTGTCATGTGGTGTGTTCAAATTATTTTTTAGTTTTGTATACTTGGACATGTTGCCGAGGCATACATTTCAGACCTTCCAGGGGATACATTGTCGACATGTTGGAATTAACAAAAACGAATTTACTTTATAATATAAGAAATTAAAAAATAAAAAAAATTCAAATTTAGTGGTTCTCTTACGTCCACAATCCATTTGTGTCGCACTGCGTTTCATCGCACAAACGCATAATTACGTCTATGCGAATGCCAATCCATTTGTGTCGCACTGCATTTCATCACACAAATGCATAATTACACCTATGCGAAGGATACGCATAAGCACCTATAATGCTTAATGCTTAACTGAAACGCATTGTCACGCATTACGTATTTTAGAACTTTGATCAATATAGTACAAGTGTACAACATTCAAAATGAAACAAGCAACACACACACACACACACACACATATATATATATATATATATATATATATATATATATATATATGGAATTAACAATCAAATTAAGGCTTATATAAGTGGAATTCGTTGTCTAAAAATTATCATAAAAATGACATACATTTGCGTACCCATCTTATCCATATAAATGGAAGTAAACAATATATAATAAAAATCTTCACGTCACCTCCTTATTACATGTATACTCTTTCATTCAATTCTACAATACAACATTAGACAAGAATCATCTAAATATACTTTTCACCTTTGAATAAATCACATTTTATTTTTACACAAACTTCAAAATTTCAGAAAAATTCTTTATAATGCCACGATCAGCTATCATTTACTTCTTATCCTTTCATCTCTTCAGGAAGTTGAAAGATTTGATTGCATAAGCAAAGATGACTGCAAATAACAAGCAAAATCCAACCACCATAATAGCTCCAATTCCAATGAAATCATGCCGAAATCCGAAAACATTCTTCAGTAAAAGCTTTGTTGACACTGTATGAATCCCATCTGAGAGCTTCAGAAGTTTATCACTGTCAGAATATTGGGAAGCAACAAGGCCATACAGACTCCAGGCTACAGGGTTTGCCCAATAATACCATCTCCACCATATAGGGATTCTCTGTAATTGCAGAAAAAGGCATGTAATTCTTGAGAATATGATGTGTTTTCAATTTCAGCAATAATCTGCTGCATATAATCTTTCAGCATGTTAGACTTAGTAGTTTATTTTGAGCTTCCTTATATATGTTGATTATCTTCTGGATTTATTCTAATCTCTATTTGTAGAACAACATTTATCCGAAAAGCAATCAGAATACGAGCAAAACACACACAAATTTGTAACAGTTCATCCTCATTGAGAGCTACGTTTTCCAAGAATAAGTATACAAGGTTTTACTCGAATGCCTTGTGCACAAAGAGATGGTTCCTCTAAAAATCCTTTATGTACATGTAGAAATATTAGAGTGACATGGTATATATATGGAATGCCCAGTATACCCACAAAACCAATGGACGACGAAATTTGATTTTACTCCCCAAATGGATAAAAATGAAACAACCCAAAACTTTTGCACAACAGAATCAACATGTTTGCCCAGTCAGAGAAGTGTAGTTCCAGTATCGACTTAGAATACAAGATTGTATTGCGAAACTAAGATCACGACGTAATCCTATAATTCTAACATTCAAAATTGTCTAAGAAAACATCAATTGCAGTTTTTTGTATTTTTATGAATGACAGATGAAAATATATTAAAGAAAATGAGAAAATTTGTAGACAATTCTAACATAAATCAGGCATTGCCATTACTTGATACTTAGGTCATCAGAAACAAGAGTTACCATTCTTGGTCGAGTCTGTAATATCTAAGAATGTGATGAGTTTTTTCTCTCTGAGGAGCTTAATTATAATATACTCTCTTGTTCATGATTCTTCAAGTGAAACAACAGCAGGCGAAAATTTTATTACCTTGTACGGTATCATAAATCCGCTGAACAGATTCCAAAGCATATAGAAAGGAGCAGCAATAATGGCAGCCACATTATGATTGGGCGTCACAGCAGTTGTCATCATCCCGTAAAAGGTGAAATACAACATACTAAAGTACATAAAGAATATGTACCAAATAAATTTCGAAGCAGTCCACTCGAAGGAAGCCATTGAGTAGAATATTGTGCAGTAAACTAGAGACTGCATGAATACGTAAGGAAATTCAATAGCAACCTGCACCAGATGAGATTAGTATCATTCACTGTGCAAAAAGATTAATGGCACCTTCGGTAGGAAGATTGCATAGTACACAAGAAATTAAGCTAAAATTCTGCTCATTATACTGGACAAGTGGACATCCTGTTGTGCACTTTATACGAAACATGCTCTAAATGTAATAAACAGAGCTATGATGTTTCAAAAGAGCATCAGATACAAAACCTGAGCAAATGCAAATGGTAATGCAGAATACATTCCTGCCGCTCTTTCTCTGTATGAAACAAATCTTTCAACAGAAACAACTGGTTGAACAGAAGTGGCATTGGTTACTCCAATGAATAGTACCGCTGCATACATAGATCCCATAGCATTAAAAATGTCCTGCTGCGTGTCCCTACAATGTATGAAACAAAATAAACTCGGGCCCCATTTTGTGATGGTTTAAGTAATTATATGGAAAGAAAGGATGTCAATATATGACAATTATCTATTGACATATTTTCATAGCAACGAGTTATCCCTATCTCTGACAAATAGTACCCATGTCTCTAATCTAAACATAACATAAGCTCAAGTTATGAGTAAACCTTTTCGAACCAAATTTCCAGCATATTGTTCCCAGCATTAGTGATATAATTAATGTGTAGAAGAATCGAACTGCAGTGTATTGTGGGTTTCGCCAGTAAGATAGGTTCTGCTTCCAGAGGCAAGCCACAAACTGATCAAAATATGACTGAGAATACTTAGTGGGAAAATGTAGATCTTTTGTATCGCTACTTGGTTTGCTTAGCCTCTCTACCAACTCTTTATTACACCTGAAACATAAAGACCAATAAATTATTTAAAAAAAAAAAAGGGGGTGTTGAAATGAAAAGGCTAGTTCAAGAAGCAAAGTTCGTATTATAAAGAGAACATACTGAAAAAGGTGTGATCTTCGGTAAATTTCAGCAAAATCAACACCAAGATGGGCTTCTTCAACAGATGATGTGACCTCTAAGATCCATGTAGCAGGATTATGGCCAGGTCTGATCCTTGGCACACCATCAACTCCCTACATAATAAGTGTAAAGAATGTGAACGTTCAATGACTGCTTAATAATTCAATCTTCCCAATGCAAACCAATATCTGACCTCAAAATACTCAATTAGGTTGCTAGACTTGGGACCAAGTGGACCTGCATAAATGAGCTCTCCTCCCCGTTTCATAAGTAAAAGCTGCAGTTTCAGACGAGATTGCCAGAGTACAGCAATAAACATGATGAGGAACTGATACGCATAACTATTAGAGAACTGAGAATCAGGTATTTTTATTCAAAGTTATAGAATCTTGAATAAAGATGCTAAAAATTTCATTGCCAACTTAGATACAAAATATATTAACTTTATAAGTAGAAAAAGATTGACTGTGTGTCCAATTGCCTGAAACAATGATCAGCCAATGGTAAAGCTACAACGTTGTATGACAGAGGGAAGATAGTTGTCCAAGTATCAGGAGATAGTGCCTCTAATGATTTATTCCAAGGAAGTAACAAAAGAAAAATTATTAACTCTTCGCGTGCTTGACAAGATGTCAAATATTTCTGAGAAAAGAAGCAACCTCATCAAAGGATTCAAAGATGTCAATGCTAGGCTGATGGATTGTGCAAACAATTGTTCGTCCAGTATTTACTATATTCCTCACAGTTCTCATCACAATGGCTGCAGATCTTGCATCCAACCCTGATGTGGGCTCATCCATAAATACTATTGAGGGATTGGCTACCAGCTCAACAGCAATGGTGAGACGTTTTCTTTGCTCTGTTGACAGTCCATCGACTCCTGGCAGACCAACCAAAGCACCTCTCAAAGGAACAAGCTCCACAAGTTCCATTACCTCCTCAACAAATGCCTGAAATTATGATCCTTCATAAGTCACCTCAAGGCTAGAATAAAAAATAAAAAAAAACACTAAATGAATTTTAGTTTACCTTTTGTGTTTCCAAATCAATATCAGATGCCAAACGTAGCCAGGCAGAGAACAGAAGAGATTCAAGAACAGTCAAGCAGGGAGAATGAATATCATTTTGCTCACAGTAACCTGATATTCGAGCAAAAGTCTCTTGCTTTTTTGGATGACCAGATATATTGATACTCCCTTCTATAAAGCCTCCAGTCTTTCGGCCGGCTAATACGTCCATGAGTGTGGTTTTTCCAGCACCACTTTCTCCAACCAATGCAGTAAGCACCCCGGGTCTGAATGCACCAGTAATATTATTCAATAATTGCAGTTTGTCCTCTAGTACTCCTTGCTGCTTCAATTCCTGAAACAAAGATTATAGAATGTATTTAAGGAAAAACAGACTGAACAAATGATGCTTGAGAAGATATGGGAGTGCCTTACTCACCAGGGGTACATCCACATAGTATTTTATATTGCTGAATGACATAGCAAGTGGTTGAAAAGGAAGCACCATGCCTTTTTGTTTAAAACTTCTTCCTGAGTAACAAAGAAAAATCATTATTTCGTTAGCTAAGAAGTTCCAACCATCAAAGAACCCTAGATAGAAAGACTAGATTGCACACAAAAAGGAAATGCTTTCCCCACCCATGCACCAACAAAGAGACCGACCATGTATGTCTTACTTGCTAATGAGCCTGAATACTGTAAAAAGTCTCTTAGCTGCATAATAACTGGTTGTCCTTTCAGGTTTTGGTCCTTATCCTGAAGCTTCTCCTTAGAAACAATTGCCTGATGGTTCACCAAAGCTTCAAGAATTTGAAAATAGAAGGAACCAGAAAAAGATGTTAGTTTTCCTATCCTATAAATATTTTTATGCGTCTTGGATTGAAATGGACATGAAGGAGTCATTAAAGGAGGAATCACTTACGGTTCAGGTAGGAAAGGAAGAAGGTAAAAAGGATGTTGAATAGAATTATATATCCAATTAATGCGCCAACACCAATCCAGTACCA